TTTTTCTTTTCTTTTCTTTTTGCCGTAGCATCTCCCTCTATCGTCCAGGCTGGAGTCAGTGGCATGATCCTGGCTTACTGCAGCCTATGTCTCCTAAGCTCAAGCGATCCTCCTTTCTCAGCCTCCTGAGTAGCTGGGACTACAGGTGTGCGCCACTCCTTTAGCATTTCTTGTAGCATAAGTCTGCTTTTTATGTCTGAAAAATTATTTCAGCTTTTGTATGACTGAAAGAATTCTTATTTCCTCTTCTTTTTTGAAATACATTTCACTGGTAAAGAATTGTCGGTTGACAGCCTTTTGGGTATTTGCTGTTGTTGTTGTTGACTGTTCCACTATTTTCTCACTCATTTTTGACAAGAAGTCTGCTAGTAATCCATCTTTCTGCTCCTCTGCACATGTCTTTTTTCTCTAGTTGTTGTTAAGGTTTCATCACTAATCTTAAGTAATTTGATTATTGCCTCGGTATAGTCTTCATGTTTCTTGTGCTGGGGGTTCATGAAGTTTCTTGAATCTTTGGGTGTCCAATTGTCATCCTATTTGGATTTTTTCTGGACATAATTTCTTCAAATTTTTTTTCTGCCCTCCTTCCCCTCTGGAGACTTCAACTGTGTATATTCAACTGAAGTTGTGCCGTGGTTAACTGATGCTCTGTTTGAATTTTTTCAGGTTTTGTCTTTAAGATGTCAGGCAGGGCCTGAGAAGCATTTATTCTAGAGTTGATTTTTTTTTCTCTGCTACTGAGCCAAAACCTTCTTACTACGCTAAACAATGCCCTGTGCATTATGAGGTTTTTTTCACCTGACTGTCGGGAATAGACACTATTCCTGGCCCTGTGTGATTCCAGGTATGATTCCCACTTCTCCTTTTGGGTGGTTCTTTCCTAGTACTAGGGTAGTTTCCTCATCTGTATTCTCTGAGCAGAACTCAACTGCATGTTCAAGGAGGATTCTCTGCATAGCTCTGGGCTTTGCTCTGTGATCTCTCAGCTGTGTCTCTGTGCTCTGCAATGTGAACCCTGCCTGCCTTGGCTTCCCTAGATTTCCAGCTCTGTCTCTTCAACTTAGGGAATCTGCTGGTGTCCCACCTCAGTTTTCCTTCCCTGTGCTGTGGTCTGGAAATGCTCTCCAGGCAGTCAGCTGGGGAGAACACAGGGCTAACCTCATTTGTTTCCTAATTCTCAAGGATCAGTGTCCTTTATTGACTGATGTCCAACATCAAAGAGCTCTTGTCTCATGTATTTGTTCCAGTTTTTTAGCTGTTCCAACTGGGAGGATAAACCTGGTCTCTGTTATTCCATCTTAACTGGGAGCCAAAATCAAATGCATGCTTTTTTTTTTTTTTTTTTTTGAGACGGAGTCTTGCTCTGTCACCCAGGCTGGAGTGCAGTAGCGCTATCTTGGCTCACTGCAAGCTCCATCTCCCAGGTTCACACCATTCTCCTGCCTCAGCCTCCAGAGTAGCTGGGACTACAGGTGCCCACCACCACGCCTGGCTAAATTCTTTGTATTTTTAGTAGAGATGGGGTTTCACCGTGTTGACCAGGATGGTCTCGATCTCCTGACCTCGTGATCTGCCTGCCTCAGCCTCCCAAAGTGCTGGGATTACAAGCATGAGCCACCATGCCCAGACAAATGCATGTATTTTTTAACAGCTTTATTGAGACAAAATTTACATGCCATACAATTTGCCCATTTACAGTGTATAGTTCAAGGATAGAAGTTCCTCACAAAACTAAAAATAGAAGTACCATATGATTCAGTAATTCCTCTACTGGGTATATACACACACACACACACAAAAAAGGAAATCAATATATTGAAAAGACATCTGCACTCCATGTTTATTGCAGCATGATTCACAATAGCCAAAATATGGAATCAACCTAGGTGCCCATCAACAGATGAATGGATAAAGAAAATGTGGTATATATACACAATGGAATATCATTCAGCCATAAAAAAAACAATGAAATCCTATTATTAGCAGCAACATAGACGGAATTGGAGATCATTATGTTAAGTGAAATAAGCCAAGCACAGAAAGACAAATACTGCATGTTCTCACTCATATGTGGGAGCTTAAAAAGTAGATCTTATGAAGACAGACAGTAGTTTGGTCGTTACCAGAGACTCTGAAGGGGAGGAGGGAGGTGGGATGACAAGAAGTTGATTAATGGGTACAAATATATAGTTTGAGAGAAGAAATAAGACCTAGTGACAGATAGATGAGTAAGGTGGCTACAGTGTACAATAATGTATTGCATATTTCAAAATAGCTAGGAGAATTTGAATAGTTCTAATATAAAGAAAGACAAATATATAATTTGATGGATATCCCAAGTATGCTGATTTGATCTTTACAAATTATATGAATGTATTAAATTATCACATGTACCCTGAAACTATGCACATTTATTAGGTTGGTGCAAAATGTATTGCATAACGGCAAAACCACAATTACTTTTGCACCAACCTAATAATATTATGCAGCAATTTTTTAGTGTATTTTTGTTTGGTTGGTTGGTTTGGGTTTTTTTTTTTTTTCTTTTTTTTTTTTTTTGGAGACAGAGTCTCACTCTGTCACGCAGGCTGGAGTACCGTGGTGCAATCTTGGCTCACTGCAACCTCCGCTTCCCAGGTTCAAGGGATTCTCCTGCCTCTGCCTCCTGAGTAGCTGGAATTACAGGTGCATACCACCACACCCAGCTTTTTTTTTTTTTTTTTTTTTGTATTTTAGTAGAGACAGGGTTTCACTGTGTTAGCCAGGATGGTCTTGATCTCCTGACCTCATGACCCACCCGCCTCAGCCTCCCAAAGCGCTGGGATTACAGGCTTGAGCCACCATGCCTGGCCAAAAGTGTATGGTTTAATGGTTTTTAGTATAGTTACAGATTTGTGCAACCATTATCATAATCCTAGGATATTTTCATCAGCCCAAAATGAAGCCCCAAACCACTGGTGGTCACTACCTCCTCTTCCCATCCACCCTAGCAATCACTAATCAACTCTCTATCTCCACAGATTTCCCATCACTAATCAACTCTCTGTCTCCACAGATTTGCCCATTCTGGACATTTCACATAAATGGAATCATGCAGTATATGGTTCTTTAAAACTGGCTTCTTTCACTGAGCATGATGTTCTCAAGGTTTATCATTATTGTAGTATTTATCAAGACTACATTCCTTTTCATGGCCAAATAATATTCTATTGTATGGATATATAGATTTTCTTTATCCATTTTCCAGTTGATGAACATATGTGTAGTTTTCACTTTTTGGCTATTATGATTAATGCTATATGAAGATTTGTGCACAAGTTTTTATGTGGACATATATTTTTATTTCTCTTAGGTATATACCTAGGAGTGGAATTTCTGGGTCATATGGTAAGTCCATGTTTAACATTTTGAGGAACTGCCTAACCATTTTCTTTTTTCTTTCTTTCTTTTTTTTTTTGAGACAGAGTTTTGCTCTTGTTGGAGCAATGGTGCTGGAGTGCAATGGTGCGATCTCGACTCACTGCAACCTCTGTCTTCCGGTTTCAAGCAATTCTCCTGCCTCAGCCTCCCAAGTAGCTGAGATTACAGGCGCCCACCACCATGCCTGGCTAATTTTTGGATTTTTAGTAGAGACAGGGTTTCGCCATGTTGGCCAGGCTGGTCTCGAACTCCTGACCTCTTGATCCTCCCACCTTGGCCTCCCAAAGTGCTGCGATTACAGGCATGAGCCACCATGCCTGGTCAGCCATTTTCTAAAGCAACTGCACTGTTTTGCATTTCTGCCAGCAGTGTCTCAGGGTTTCAATTTCTCCACATCTTTGTCAACACTTGTTATCATCTATCTTATTGATTATGGCCATCTGACTGAATATGAAGTGGTATCTTATTGTGGCTTTGCTTTGCATTTCCATGATGGCTACTGATGTTGAGCACATTTTCATGTGATTTTTGGCTGTAGCAAAACCTTTTATTCTTCAAATGGGTTGTCTTTTTATGGTTGAGTTGTAATTCTGCATACAGTTTCTTTATGCAGACATAGGATTTGTACATCTTTTCTCTCATTCCATGAGTTGTCTTTTCACTTTTTTGATAGTGTGCGTTGCATCAAAAAGTTTTTAGTTCTTATGAAGTCCAGTTTATCTGCATGCATTTTTTTAAAGGAAACTTCGTATCAGTCCCTCAAGTGGAAAACCATCATCAATGACTTGTCATAGAAAACCATTGTAAAAATAAATCACAAATGTATTTAATAAAGAGAAGTCAAATGTAACAGTAAATGTACTTATAAATAAAATTTTAAATGTGTTCATCCACAGGCTGGCTCAAATCATTTTGCTGTGGTATGTGGATTTCACTTTGGGAAAGTGAGAGTCACCCCTGTACCCTTGCATTCCCCTGACTTAGTCTTTGGCCACCAGCTTCTTCATTAACAAAATAGAGTACTGAAATAGATTGGTGGTCTTCAGACTTTTTTTTTAAGCCATAGAAACCGTTTTCTTCCCCCCAGCCAATTTTTTTTGCGAACCTTGGCTTACAAAACACATAAGACTCTGCTGGCTACATCAGAATTCCCTGGAGGCTAATGAAAAATACTAGCACCTGGACCCCGATCGAGCCTGCTGAATCCCACTCCAGGGATGGTCCCTGCGGCTTTTTGTCTCACACTGCCCAGGTGATGTCTCACACTGCCCAGGTGAACTCAGGGAGGTACTGATTTGGGCCCTCCTTGCTCCAGGAGCTGGGATCCCTGAATGGAGGAAACTGTTGAGTTCAGTTTTCATCCACCACAGTCACCTGCTGTAACTGGGACTAAGAACTGGTGAAACACCAAAAGATGCTGCTATGTTTGAAGTCACCCATAAGCTCCCGCCCTGGGGCCCTGGAGAGTTCTCCATGACACAGAGCCTTCCTCTTCCTCCAGCCCTGGCCATAACCCTGGAGCCAACCCCTCAGCTCACGGGCCCTCCCTTTTCCTGCCTCAGGGCTGTGACCTCACTCACCTCTTAAACCAGAGCAGCAGGCGAGGATGGTCCTGAGGCTTGAGAAACCTCCTTAGCTTTGGCCCCAGAAGCCGTTTCAGCAGGCGGTGGCCCAGGAACGTGAGGACCACACAAGTGAGGACAAACAGAGCCAGGGCCCTCTGGAAATCCAGGAGGCAGGCCACCAGCAGGAAGGCAGCGAACGCTGGGGGACGAGAGAGAGGAGGGGTCAACGGCCACGACATCACCTCTTCAGGCCCCTGCAGCCCCGCCCACGGACTCCACCTTACTCCATCCAGATCGTGGAGGGCAGGAAACTCACCCAACCTCACTGAGCCTGTTTCCTCATCTGGAAATGAAAACAACCATCACTACTGTGTCAAAAGTAGTTAGGAGTTACTGGCAGAAGGCATTGTGAAAGGGCCTTGTAAACTGTAAAGTGCTTACCAAATGTGAGGGAGATGTGTAAGGAGGCCGCAAAGCCAAACAGCGAGAGGTGCTGGGCATCAGTGGAGCATCTGCTGTGGTCCAGCGCCATGCTAGGCCCCGTGGAGGAAGGAGACGAGCCCATCAGCTACTCCATGAAGGAGTTCACATATGTGTGCTGGGACTGCGTTCTGAAATGTTCATCAATGACCGTGCTTCCTAGAGTTTCCTTTCCCCTTTTGCCCTTCTCTCCTTTGAGCCACTCAGCCAGTACATGCTTATGCCTCAGAAAGGCACGTGAGAATGGATAGCTGAGGGGGAGATGTCTCTCCCTAGATTTTTTTTTTTTTTTTTTTTGAGACAGGGTCTCACTTTGTTGCCCAGGCTGGAGCACTATCTCAGCTCACTGCAACCTCCGCCTCCTGGGTCAAAGCAGTGCTTCTGCCTTAGCCTCTCGAGTAGCTGGGATTACAGGTACCCACCACCAAGGCTGGCTAATTTCTGTATTTTTGGTAGAGACAGGGTTTCGTCATGTTGCTCAGGCTGGTGTTGAACTCCTGGGCTCAAGTGATCCGCCCACCTCAGCCTCCCAAAGTGCTGCGATTACAAGTGTAAGCCATCGCGCCTGGCCTCCCCCTGGCTTTGGAATTTCAGAATCCAGGATCCTCAAAGAATGGAAAAGATGCTTAACCATGGATAAAAAATGTGATCTGAAACATCACGAATAAAGGTAAGTTCTACCCAACCGCTCTGCTACCAGGCAATAACAAGGACAATGGTATCACAGAGAAAGCGCCTGAGCCTGGCAAGGCTGCCAAGCCAGGTGTGTTTGCAGCGTTGCAAGCAGCGAAGCCTTGTGCCTGGCTTCCTGGTGGAGCCCCAGGGAGGTCCCAGGACTGCAGAGAGAGGAATGCCCACGCGGTGCATGGCAAGCCAGTGAGGCTCTGCAGGCACCAAAACAGCTGAAGTGGTCTCCATGAGAGGCCTGAAGAGGAGAGAGGTGGGAGACCAGAATGAGCCCACCATGGGGAAGAGGGCGTCGCCATGGTCACCTGCAAGGATGGAGGACCCAGGACCAGCTGGAGAAGTGGACAAGTCAGGAGACACTTGAGGAGTAATAATAGATAAGCCCCCCTGGTAACCCCCAGAGAAAGGGATGAAGGAAGATTCCAACTGGACAGAAATTGAGTTCCCGTCACTCGCTGGAATGATAAAATTGAGGGAGAAGATAAGTTGAGTCATAAAACATAAAATGACCCTTCTCTCACATGGAAGCTTGTGGGCCAGAGTTCCAACCTGAACGGGTGTCACTGAGACACACAGCTGGAACCCCACAGGGTGGTGCTGGGGCTGCTGGTACCAGCCGTGGAGGTTCAGGGGAGGCGGACCTGGCCAGGGAGAGGATCCGTGGTCGCCAGGAGGTGAGCTTAGCACTTCAGATGCACTTTCACAATGAATCCTCACAAGACCCCTAGAAGGTGGGGTCTACAGTGATGCCCACTTGGAGAGCGAGGCCTCTGAGGCCAGCCAAGATGAGTGCCTCACACAGGGAGGGCATGGGGCTAGGAGGCCAAGAAGGTCTGTGCACCTCAGGTCCTGTGCTTTGTGGTTGAGGCGGGCCAGGAAGGCTGGGGGAGTCTGGGTAGACCAGGACAGGGACTCAGGGAGAGGGGGCAGTGTGGAGGAGTCCTGCAGGCAGGGCACAAGGACAGTAGTACTTTTGGAAGTATTTTATTCATCTAGGATCCATTCACAGGGATTGGTTTGGGGACGGGCAGGACCTGAGCTAAGCTCCTTGAAGAACTCCCTGGGACTTTGACTGGAACAGCCAGCAAGAGGCACCCCCTTCTTCTAAGACTGGGGACACCAAGGCCATCCTTGTTAGTCTGGTGCCAGGGCTGTCGCTGTACCCATGGAGAAGGCCTACCTGAGGTGAGCAAGCCACTGTCACAGATCAGGAGCCAAGTCCTGAGAATGTGAGCTTCATTTCTCTATCACAGCTATTCCCAGAACATCTGTGAACAGCCTCCCCAGGAAAGAGGTGATGTAATAAAGATATTGAAAAGCCAGAGAAATCAAAGTCACCCAGAGACAGTCACTGCTGACCATTGCAAGAGATCATTTAATGATTCAGTTTGCATTCCTGAAAGCCATGGCAAACATGGAAATAGGATGAGAGGGATAATTTTCATTCTCTACTGAGAGAATTCAATTGTTCTTCAAGAGAAACAAATTGGATCTGAGTGAAGGAGGCAGCCAAGGAAACAGAGACGGTCCTGGCTTCAGACCCTGCCAAAAGTGGACGTCACCATCTCTAGGAGGAAGCTGTGAGGAAGCTGTGAGGGACATGGACCCACCCCATCTCAGCAGATGACCCTACTTTAACGTTCACCAAGCAGACCAGGTCATTGCTGTCACCTCTCTCACTGTCTTTCCCCTCCAGAGCACCTATAATGAGCTCTGCATCTGTACTCATCCTTCTTTTATTTTTTCAAAATTTATTTTTATTTTTAAAATTTTTTGTAGAGGTTGGGTCTTGCTGTGTGGCCCAGGCTGGTCTCGAACTCCTGGGCTCAAACAATCCTCCCACTGCAGCCTTCTGAAGTGCTGGGATTACAGGCATGAACCACCTGCCATGCCTGGCCCCTCTTTAATTCCAACCTGTCAGGATGAGGTGAACTTGCTCCTGAAAAGACCCACCCCTCCCTGTGGGGTGGGGAGCTCTTCTACTCTGTGCCAGGGGACCTTGCTCCATCGGTCATCTTTTCATCTCCCATTCCTTCACGTTCCTTCTACAAACTCCCCCACCTCAGCTCCTACACACAAAGTGTCTCCCACCCCAAACTCATGCCCATCCTTGACACTTGGTCACATGCTGCCCATTCATCCTCCCCGCCTGACGTCATAAAAATTGATCAAGGCTGGGCGCAGTGGCTCACGCCTGTAATCCCAGCACTTTGGGAGGCTGAGGAGGTGGATCACGAGGTCAGGAGATCAAGATCATCCTGGCTAACACGGTGAAACCCTGTCTCTACTAAAAATAAAAAATATTAGCCGGGCATGGTGGCAGGTGCCTGTAGTCCCAGCTACTCGGGAGGCTGAGGCAGGAGAATGGTGTGAACCCGGAAGGCAGAGGTTGCAGTGAGCCGAGATAGCACCACTGCACTCCAGCCTGGGTGACAGAGCAAGACTCCATCTCAAAAAAATAATAAAAAAGGTTGGTTCCAAGATGGCCAAGTAGGAACAGCTCCAGTCTGCAGCTCTCAGCGTGAGCGATGCAATAGATGGGTGATTTCTGCATTTCCAACTGAGGTACCAGGTTCATCTCACTGGGGCTCTCACTGGGGCTTGTCAGACAGTTGATGCAGCCCACTTAGCAGGGCGGGGCATCGCCTCACCCAGGAAGTGCAAGGGGTCAGGGAATTCCATTGCCCAGCAAAGGGAAGCCATGACAGACGGTACCTGGAAAATCGGCACACTCCCACCCTAATACTGTGCTTTTCCAATGGCCTTAGCAAACGGTGCACCAGGAGATTATATCCTGTGCCTGACTTGGAGGGTCCCACACCCACGGAGCCTCGCTCACTACTAGCACAGCAGTCTGAGATCAAACTGCAAGGTGGCAGTGAGGTTGGGGGAGGGGTGTCCACCATTGCTGAGGCTTGAGTAGGTAAATAAAGCGGTCCAGAAGCTGGAACTGGGTGGAGCCCACCACACCTCAAGGAGGCCTCCCTGCCTCTGTAGACTCCACCTCTGGGGGCAGGGCATAGCTGAACAAAAGGCAGCAGAAACTTCTGCAGGCTTAAACGTCCCGTCTGACAGCTTTGAAGAGAGTAGTGGTCCTCCCAGCACAGAGTTTGAGATCTGAGAATGGACACTCTGCCTCCTCAAGTGGGTCCCTGACTCCCAGTACCCTAACTGGGAGACACCTCCCAGTAGGGGCCAACTGACACCTCCTACAGCTGGATGCCCCTCTGAGATGAAGCTTCCAGAGGCAGGATCAGGCAGCAACATCTGCCGTTCTGCAATATTTGTGGTTCTGAAGCCTCTGCTGGTGATACCCAGGCAAACAGGGTCTGGAGTGGACCTCCAGCAAACTCCAACAGACCTGCAGCTGAGGGTCCTGACTGCTAGAAGGAAAACTAACAAACAGAAAGGACATCCACACCAAAACCCCATCTGTACTAAAGGCAGTAACATACGACTCCAATCTACAACAAGAACTATCAACAATATATTCAAGCAACACAAGATCAACACCACATCTCAATCTCTATACCACAACACAGAAGTCGAACAACAGAGTGAACACAATATTCTTTCAAAACAAAATTACAGCAGCCAGCAGAACAATGAAAGCTCATCATATCAAACACAATTTCCACTACGGGGGGACACAACAGAGAAATGCCAAATCAAACAACACAATGTATACCATCTCGAACCCAAGTTAGAATGGGCAGTCTTTAAAAGTCAGGAAAGCAACGAGGTGCTGGGAGGCTTGGAGGAAATAGGAGCGCTTTTACACCTGTTGGTGGACTGTGAACTAGTTAAGCATTGGGTGGAGCAGCAAAAGCGTGGCGATTTCTCAAGGATCTAGAAGAAATACAATTTGACCAGGTT